CTCAGGCTCACCTCCATCCCGTGTGGCCTTTACCTCTAGCTTTACCTGCTGGCTACTTTACAGAAATAAGGACCCGGGCGTTCCTGCCACTTCTTGTCTCCACCTGACTGTGGCTCACTTGAACCAGGAATCGGAAACTGGTTCTCTGGGCCCAAAGGCTGGAGGTGCTGCATCCTGCCTTTAGTGTTTTTTATTCTTCACCCGGGCACGGTGGCTCACGCCTGTAATCCCAGCACTTTGGGAGGCCGAGGCAGGTAGATCACCCGAGGTCAGGAGTTCGAGACCAGCCTGACCAACATGGAGAAACTCCCGACTCTACTAAAAATAGAAAATTAGCCGGGGCGTGGTGGCACATGCCTGTGATTCCCAGCTATTTGGGAGGCTGTAGCAGGAACCTGGGAGGCGGAGGTTGCTATGAGCCAAAATGGGGCCAGTGCACTCCAGCCTGGGCAACAAGAGCAAAACTCTGTCTCAGAAAAAGGAAAACAGAATTTTATTCTTCATTCCTTGGTCAGTGTAAAAACTGCAGGAAATTCAGATGAAGAAAAAAAAAGTAAGGCGGGGTGTGGTGGTTCCCACCTGTAATCCCAGTGCTTTGGGAGTCCGAGGCGGGAGGATCACTTGAGCCAAGGAGTTTGAGACCAGCCTGGGCAACATTGGGAGAACAGAAAAAGATGGAGAAACTACAAAAAAAAAATTTAAAAATGGGCCTGGGCACAATGTAATCCCAGCACTTGGGGAGGCCGTTCAGGTGGGTCACTTGCGACCAGGATTTCCAGACCAGCCTGGGCAACATAGCAAAACTCTGTCTCTACTAAAAATACAAAAAAAAATTAGCCAGCTTTGGTGGCACATGTCAGTAATCGCAGCTACTGGTGAGGCTGAGGCACAAGAATCACAGGTGATGGTTAGCAGTCAGCAGAGACTGTGCCACTGCACTCTAGCCTGGGAAACAGTGGGGGTCGGGGCAGGCCAGGTGTGGTGGCACACGCCTGTAATCCAGCACTTTGGGAGGCCAAGGTGGGTGGATCACAAACACTTGAAGTCAGGAGTTTGCGACCAGCCCGGCCAACATGGTGTGAAACCCCATCTCTACTAAAAATATAAAAATTAGCTGGGCTTGGTGCACGCCTGTAGTCCCAGCTACTCAGGAGGCTGAGGCAGGAGAATCCCTTGAGCTGAGGTCGCACCACTGCACTTCAGCCTGGGCAACAGAGCGAGCCTGTCTCAAAAAGAAGAAAGCAAGTTCAAGCTGCTGTTGGTAACGTGCTTCTTTTTGAGTGCAGACCGTGACGATCATAAGTTCTTATTTATGGACATTTCCTCACTGACACTTTAGGACCCCCAGGAAGGGAACTGAGATATTCTAGCCTCATCTTACTGATGAGGAAACTTAGTCATGAAGAGCCTCACTCCCTGTGGCCCAAGGAGAGGCCACCTCTGTGTCATTCAGAGTCTTCTCAGACATCACTTTTCTTGACAGATGGTGTTCTGTCCACCTGCAAGATGTGGCAGAACTGACTTCACCTGCTGGAGATGCGGGTCCTTTGCAGTCTTTTTCTTTTTTTTTTTTTTTTTTTTGAGACGGAGTTTCGCTTGTTACCCAGGCTGGAGTGCAATGGCGCGATCTCGGCTCACCGCAACCTCTGCCTCCTGGGTTCAAGCAATTCTCCTGCCTCAGCCTCCCGAGTAGCTGGGATTACAGGCACGCGCCACCACGCCCAGCTAATTTTTTGTATTTTTAGTAGAGACGGGGTTTCACCATGTTGACCAGGATGGTCTCGATCTCTTGACCTCGTGATCCACCCGCCTCGGCCACCCAAAGTGCCGGGATTACAGGCGTGAGCCACCGCGCCCAGCAGTTTTTGTTTTTGTTTATTTTTTGAGATGGAGTCTCGCTCTCACCCAGGCTGGAGTGCAATGGCTTGATCTTGGCCCACTGCAACCCCTGCCTCCCAGGTTCAAGCAATTCTCCTGCCTCAGCCTCCCAAGTAGCTGGGATTACAGGTGAGCGACACGTGCCTGGCTAATTTTTGTATTTTTAGTAGAGATGGGGTTTCACCATGTTGGCCAGGCTGGTCTTGAACTCCTGATGTAGGTGATCCACCCGCCTTGGCCTCCCAAAGTGCTGGGGTTACGGACGTGAGCCACCCCACCCAGCCCTCAGCTTAAATTCTTGCTAATAAAAATTTGGATCTAGGAGTGCCAGTTTCCTTAGTTCTCACCGGCAGCAGGCACTGAGGTCAGGTTCCTCTGGTGTGCTGGGCACCCTGCCTCCCTTCCACGTCCGTGGAAGATGTGGAAATATAATAACACATTTCTTCTTCTGGAAAGTGGGACGAAGGAGGGCAAGGTGGTCTGGGTTCAGAGCTGCTCCTGCTTCACCTCCGAGGGTCCCAAACCCGGCATAAGTCGCTTGCCTAGACTTGGGAAGGGTCCTCCAACCAGGATGGCTTCTTAGACTCTCAGTCCCAGCGCTGGACAAGGCTGAGTGGGCTCCATGTCCTCCTCAGATTCCCAGGACTCTGGTTCTCTCTGCTTCTGCTTCCGGTGGCTGCTGATCTGGTTCAAGCGGGAATTCCCCTTCCTGGATGTCCTTCGGCTGTGGGAGGTGGGCCAGCCAGTTTGGGGAGGGAAGCCTGAAGGGGTGGGCTCTGCCACCTGTGGGAGAGGATGGGAGGTCAGGCGGAGAGGGGCAGACCCTGGTGGGACCTCAGGCCCAGGCTGGGCCATGACCCCTCCCTCCCTCTGTCCCGCATCCCCAGGTACTGTGGACAGGGCTCCCTGGCCCCAATCTGCACCTGCTGGTGGCCTGCGCCATCCTGGACATGGAGCGGGACACCCTCATGCTGTCCGGCTTCGGCTCCAATGAGATCCTCAAGGTGAGGCGCCGGCTCCCTCCCGCGCCCCCCTCCACCCACCCAGAGCTGGGCGCGTCCAGGGCCGCAGTACCCCGGGGGAGCAGGTGCTCAATGTGGGATTATTGAAAGCTTGGTTAGCTGAGCGCGCCGTCGGGGTGGGGCCGAATGGGTTTCTCTCCCGGTCCCTTGCCTGCTCCCAGCCAGGTCCTCACAGGGCGGGTGGGTGGGGACCTGCCCTCCCCCAGTACGTGCTTAGAATGCTCCCGGAGGCCTGAGAAGCCTGACTCTCCCAGCCCCCAGCGTGCCTCCGAGCCCCCAGAGGGCCAGCCCGGTGTGTCTTCATTGTTCCTCAGCACGAGGCACAGAGTGGGCGCTCGGGCGGAGGTGGCTGAGTGCTGGCTGGCGCCTGACCCACCCCCTCCCGCAGCACATCAACGAGCTGACAATGAAGCTGAGTGTGGAGGACGTGCTGACCCGCGCCGAGGCCCTGCACCGCCAGCTGACCGCCTGCCCGGTGAGTGTCCGCCCGCCCCGCAGCGCCCCTGCCCGAACCCCGCCCCTATCTCACCATCACCTGCTTTTCACCGCCCTCGCCCCCGCCTCTAGGAGCTGCCCCACAACGTGCAGGAGATCCTGGGGCTGGCGCCGCCCGCAGAGCCCCACAGCCCCTCGCCCACCGCGTCTCCCCTGCCGCTGTCGCCCACCCGGGCCCTGCCCTCCCCGCCGCCCCCCGCAGACACAGCCCCGCAGCCCGACAGCAGCCTGGAGATCCTGCCAGAGGAGGAGGACGACGGCGCCGACTCCTAACCCCGCCAGGCAGCCTCGCTCTGCACAGGCACTTTAGCCCGCGCCGGAGGCCAGGGACACCTGCGAGGGGGCGGGTGGGTTCCGCCCCCGGCCGCCCCCGCCGCCCTCCTGATAAACTGGCTTCATTAAACTGACACTTCTCTTGTGCAGTTGGCTTCATCTTAGTGGGGGAAGCTGCCACGTGGGCTCCGACCTTGGTGGGGATTGTGGCTCGGCAGAGCCTAGGGTGGATGATTGGGGTTTGTGGAGGCAGGGCTCCCTGAGTTGCCTGATTTTATTTATTTATTTATTTTTTAAGACGGAGTTTCGCTCTTGTTACCCAGGCTGGAGTGCAATGGCGCGATCTCGGCTCACCGCAACCTCCGCCTCCTGGGTTCAGGCAATTCTCCTCCCTCAGCCTCCTGAGTAGCTGGGACTACAGACACGCGCCACCATGCCCAGCTAATTTTTTTGTATATTTAGTAGAGACGGGGTTTCACCATGTTGACCAGGATGGTCTCGATCTCTTGAGCTCGTGATCCACCCGCCTCAGCCTCCCAAAGTGCTGGGATTATAGGCGTGAGCCACCGCGCCTGGCGATTTGTTTTATGAGATGGAGTCCTGCTCTCACTCAGGCTGGAGTGCAGTGGCAGATCTCGGCTCACTGCAGCCTCTGCCTCCCGGGTTCAAGCAATTCTCCTGTCTCGGCCTCCCAAGTAGATGGGCCTACAGGCGTGCACCACCACACCCGGCTGATTTTTGTATTTTTGTTAGAGGCAGGGTATCACCATGTTGGCCAGGCCGCACTTGAACTCCTGACCTCAAGTGATTTGCCTGCCTCGACCTCCCAAAGTGCTGGGATTACAATCGTGAGCTACGTCGCCCGGCTTGACTGGGGATTTTGGAGGAGTGGAGTGAAGATGGGGTGCTCAGGGCTGCGGCTGCGACCTGGTACCTGCGTGGGAACACTTCCCAGACATAACCAAGGTGGAAAGGCCTGCAAAGCTGCACGCCGAGTCTGCCCTTCCAGCTGCTGCTTCTGAGAAAAATCGCCTGTTCAGGCAGCCACTGTCGGCCGGGCTGTTAATAGCGTTAGGGCCCATCTGTGCTTCAGCTTCGTGACAGTTGGAGATGGTCTCCATGACTGCCATTTCCCGGTGGTGCAGGGAGTCCGTCCTGTTCCCTCTGCGTGTCCCCCCTCCTGTGGAGCCCCACTCTCCAGGAAGAAGTGAGGGACAGATTGTGGAAGGCTCCAGGATAGGCGCGGCGCCTGCTAACTGCAGGGCTAGGGGTTCCAATGCAGGCAAATTGGGGAAGTAACTGAGCCACTGGGGAGGCTGGACCACACGGCTGTTTCCGAAAATACTTTAATGCCAGGTCCTTGTGTAGGTAGTGTGCTGGAGAGGTAACTGGCCTTGGACTGGAGGGTGGCTGCCCTCTTCCTCTGCCAGGTCAGACGAGGGGCTGCCCGCCACCCCATGCGCGGGCCCCTGCCTCTGCCTCTGCCCCTCTGGGCTGGCCGTCTCGAATGCAGGCTCCTCCCGGCTGTTGATTTTGATGGCGGCTCGCAGCGCCGACTTGACCGCCGTCTCCACCCAGCCGTGCGGGTAGGCGGTGTGCTCGCCGGCGAAGTAGATGCGGCCGTAAGGCACAGACCAGTCGTACGGCTCGTAATCCTTTTCAGTGTGCCAGAGCGCCGGCGGCTGCACCACGAAGCCACCCTGGCTGTGCGGGTCCTCGGCCCAGCGCTTGACGACGCCGGTGCCGTCCCAGAGCTGGCGCACGAACGGCCCGTGCAGCGCAGCCACGTCGTCCAGTGCCAAGCGCAGCGCCTCTTCCTGGCTCAGGCCGGCGAATGTCGCGGCCGCGTCCGACCAAGTGTACGAGGCCAGCAGCAGCGCGCCCTCGCGCGGCGGCGGGTAGAAAATCATGCGCGACGGGCGGTCTGTGTTCGAGTGGCCGCCCTCGATGTCCTCCTCGCGCCAGAAGGGCCTGCGGAAGCTCAAGAACACCTTAGTGGCCGGCACGTAGTGCAGTCCCCGCAGCGCCTCCTGCACGTGGCGGGGAAGCGGCGGCGAGAAGGTGATGCGCTGCACCGCCGGCCCGCTCGCGGTCAGCAGCACCACATCGGCCTTCAGCGCCTTCAGATTCCGCGCTCGGGGAAAGGTCTTGATCTGCACGTGCACATCATGCGGCCCCTGGGTTATCGCCACGACGGGCGCGTTCAACAGCACAGGCTCAGACAGCGAGCTCAGCAGCGCGCGTGGCAGCAGGTCCCAGCCACCCACGATGCGGCTGTACCTGCGGGCGGGGCAGGGGCATGACCCCGGGTTCTGCGGCCCCGCCCCTCAGTCTGACCCCACCCACTTCGGCTGCTAGCCCCTATGGGCACCGACCCGCTCCCACCTCATCCGACTCTCTGGATCCCGCCCGTTCCTGACATCCTGGAGGCCGCAGTAGTGTGACCTGGAACCCCACCACTTCTCCTCCCCAGGCCGGGCCCTTTATCCGGGAACCCTTAAACTCTCCCCTGTCAATCAGGTCACGCCCTTCACAACAGCTCCGCCCCCAGCCCCCGAGACTCCTCCCACTCCCTGATACTTGCCCCGATTGGCTCCCGCCCGCCCCGCCCCTGCCCGTCGGCCCCGCCCCTCACTGCAGCCTGTCGCTAAGGCAGCTGTGGGCCCGGAGGGCCTCGGCAAAGCTGAGATAGAAGAAGCCATCCTCGGACATCACGTCTCCCAGAAGCTGTACGGCCGGCCGGCTCAGGTTCCCCTCCCCGAGGAGGTATTCCTGCAGGGTGGGCGCGGGCCGAGGTCAGGGCCCAGGCGGGCGCCACCACGGAGAGGACCCTTCCCCAGCCAGGCCTCCTGATTCCATGATACGTCCTTGGACCCTAGCGATCCGGTCCCCTCTCTGTGACAGATGAGGGAAACTGAGGTCCAGAGAGAGGGCGTGTCGAGCCCCCGGGTCAGGCAGGAAGGCAGTGGCAGGACTAGCGTCCCAGGTTCCCGCCTTCTGGCTCTCTGGGGAAGGCCCACGGTCACTCTCTTTGCCTTGCGTCTCAGCAGAACCAAGGACCCCACTCACCAAGAGCGTGTGCCTTTCAAACTTCTTCATTGCCTTTCTGCAGCCCAGTGCCTTCAGGTCTTTGAGGGCCTGTTGTGGGAGAGGCAGACATGGTGCTGAGCTGCCGGGGCAGCCAGGGTGGAGGCTGGGTCTAGAGCCCACCCCTGGCTTCTCCTTGTGGTTCTGCCCGTGGCCAGCCTTTCACCACTCTCAAGCCTTTGGGCGTTTGTCCACGCCGTGCCCTCCGCCTTGCCCTCCTCTGCAACTCAGATGCCACCACTCCTCCCATCTTCCCAAACGGTTAACACCACCTCACCCCCCTGCGTCTGCCCGGCTGGTCACAGCTTGTCCCGGTTGGGTGTTACTTTGCCTATTCCTGCGCCAGCCTGTGAGCTCCATGGAGGCTGGGAGAGGGTCTCAGGCATGCTGTGTCTTCCCAGGGCACAGTGATTATTGGTTGCTGGCCACGGGCAGAAGCTGGTCCCCTGTGCCCCTGGTCAGGGCTGACAGGGCATGGTGGCTGAGAAGTTCGTCCCTGCCCACAGCCTTCCTGTGGCTCCCCAGTGCCTAGAGCCACAGAGTTCTCACCCCTTAGCCTGGTGTTCGAGGCTCCTGCCAGCCCCTCAATGTCTTTTTTTGTTTTTGAGAGGTAGTCTTGCTCTGTTGCCCAGGCCGGAGGGCAGTGGCACAATCTCAAGTCACCGCATCCTCCACCCCCCAGGTTCAAGCGATTCTCCTACTTCAGCCTCTCGAGTATCTGGATTACAGGCGCGCCACCACCATACCTGGGTAATTTTTGCATTTTTAGAAGAGATGGGGTTATGCCATGCCGGCCAGGCTGGTCGCAAACTCCTGACCTCGTGATCTGCCTTCCTGAGTCTCCCAGAGTGCTGGGATTACCACTTTGGCGTGAGCTCACTTAGGAGTGAGCCTCTGTGCCCGTCCAGTCAATGTCCTTTATGGCAGCTCCGGTTCTGTGAAGTGTCTGGTGCGAGACTACCCGCCCTCAGGGCTCTCCCCGCTGCACGTCCGGCACCTGTTGCTCCCTTCTGTCCTTTCGTGGCACACGTGTGCCTGTCCTTCAGCACTTTGCTCAAGTCACAGCCCCTCCCAGAAGCCTTGCTGCTCCTGCCTAATTTCAGGTCTCATCTTGGTCCACCTGTCTTCCCCCTCCTGGCCAGGGATCTCAGAGGGAAGGCGGCGCCCCTTTGCTCACTCATGCATCTGGCATCTCCCAGGCTCCCAAACCTGTCAGTGTTAAGGCATAGAAATGACCTGGACATGGCCCCCACTGGGCCAGAAGGGGAGATGGACAAGTAAAGGGTTCTCACAGTTGGGTGTTGCCAGCTCCTCCCTAAAGGTATCAGGGATGGTTGGCCGGGCACGGTGGCTCACGCCTCTAATCCCAATACTTTGGGAGACTGAGGTGGGTGGATCACCTGAGGTCAGGAATTCAAGACTAGCCTGGCCAACATGGTGAAACCTCGTCTCTACTAAAAGTACAAAAATTAGCTGGGCCTGGTGGTGCATGCCTGTAATTCCAACTACTGGAGAGGCTGAGGCTGGAGAATCACTTGAACCCAGGAGGCGGAGGTTTCGGTGAGCTGAGATCACGCCATTATACTTTAGCCTGAGCGATAGAGTGATACTCCATCTCAAAAAAAAAAAAAAAAAAGGGGGGAGCTGGGAGATGACCCACAGGCGTAGAAGCCCGTGGAGTTGGCCACTCTCACTCTCTGATTTCAGTGGGTAGGTCAGTGGTTAGATCTCATGGCACACATGCCCTTGGTCGAATTTCCGTCTCCACCAACAGGCACCCAACCCCATGGAGGCGACCCAAGGAATAACAGAGAAGAAAAGTCAGGCCAGGGAGCCAGCCAGGGCGAGCTGGGGAGGAGGACACAGAAGTCAGGGCGGGAGGAGGTGCGGCGGCGCCCACCTGGTTGAGAGCCATCTGGTAGATGTCTTCGGGCGAGTGCCCCTTTTCCTGGGGCCGCAGGGCGTAGCCCAGCTTCTCGGGCAGCTTCTCTACCATGTAGTTGCGCAGCTTCACCTCATGCACCTCCGTCCACGTGTTCTCGTCGTACTGGGTGAACTTGGTGAGGTTGAGTCCCAGGCCCTGGCAGAGCCTGTGGAGGATCCTGAGCCAGGGAGCGGGTGGGTGAGGGCTGGGCTCCTTCAGGGGTGGCCTGGTCCCTAGTGGGACTTGGGAAGTGGGAGGGGAGAATAGCTGGGGGCCAGCGTGAGGCTGGGGGTGGGGCTAGATTTGGGGTGATCAGTGCTGGGGGATGGGAATGAAATGGGAACAAGGTTGGAAGGTTTAGGGCAGCACCGGGGTTAGGATTGGGTTAGGAGCAGGAATAGAGGCTGGACTGGAATTGGGAAGGGGACAGAGTTAGGGTTGGATGGGGGTTTGAGGTGGGGAGGGGCCTGGGGCTGGAGTGCATGAGGATGTGGGGGTAGTGGAGCTGCAGGGCTGCAGGGGACGGCAGAGGAGCTGGCGTTTGGGACAGGCAGGGCTGGTTGGGGGTCTGGCGAGTGAGGGCCGGGCTCCGGTGGGGGTGGCCAAGTTCCCAGAGGGACTTGGGAGGTGGGAGGGGAGAGTAGCTGGGGTCCAGCGTGAGGCTAGGGACCAGGTGGCCTGAGTGTTGCCAGAGGCCAGGTGCTGGGGCTGAAGTGGGACTGTCATGGGTCAGATGGAGGATGGGGTCGGAGGCTGGGTTTGGTTTAGGAGTCAGAGCTGCAGTTCGGGCCTGCTCTGGCATGGGCGTGGAGCTAGGGGGCTGGCTGAGTTGGGGAGCATGTGTGGGTGGGTTGCCAGGTCACCTGTGGGAGCTGGGCATGCGCATGGCTCCCAGCTCCCCAATCCAGCCCGTGTTCCGGTCCCGGTAGGTGAAGATTCGGCCCCCGATCCTGTTATCTGCCTCTAGGATGGTGACCTGAGGGAAACCATGGGGTGAGGAGGGCCCTTCACTTCCACTCATGACCATTCCCTGCTCCCCTGCCCCATGCCAGCCCCCTGCCTTCTTCCATCCTCACAGTGACACAGACCTAGACCCTAGACTAGGCGAGGGTCCCTTCTGTATGGGAGGTGGGAGAACAGAACCAAGTGAGCAGTTCCAGAGTACAGCAGGAAGGCCGCCAGGTAGACTTCAGAGGGACTTCCCAGCTCAGGGAGCTGGGAGATAAACCCTATATGTAGAAGTCCCCAGGCTGGACCATTCTCATTCTTGGATTTCAGTGAGTAGGTCAGTGGTTAGACCTCAGGGCACACATCCCCTTGATAAAGTTTCCAGCTGGACCGACAGGCACCCCACCCCAGGACAGAGGGGCTTTCTGTGAGACTTCCCTCTGGGATGAGGAAAGTGGGACAGGAAAGTCTAGGGCCTCTCGATGATGACACATGGCAGTATGCGGTTTGGGCCTCACCCCTAGACCGGGGGAAAGGTAGCCTCTCCCTCCCCTCCCTCAGCCCACCCCCTCAAGCAGGAGCGGGGCCAGGTCCCTCTGCCCAGGGACCCCAGCCTGCAGCAGGAGGGACTCCAGGTAGACTACAAGCAGCACTTCCCACCTTGTGTCCGGCATCGCTGAGCACCTTGGCAGCCACCAGCCCAGCCACGCCAGCACCAACCACAATCACCCTCCGGGGCTTGAGGGTCCGATCAAGGCCCAGGGTCACCACCTTGAGCAGCTGCTCGTAGTCAGGATCGTGCATGCATTTCTCGAAGGGGTCCTGGCTGCCTTCGGTCTTCCAGTCCTGGGAGGCTGCCAGGCCGAGGAGGATGGGGACGAGGCCGAGGAGGCGTAGGACTGAGAGGAGGAGGACAGGGTCAGTGGGTGTGCGGCGGGTGGGGGAAGAGGGTTCTGCTCACTTGTCCCAGAGCCCCTCCCCTGCTTACTCACCCAGCGGGGCCATGACTGTCGGCGGGAGATGGTGTCTGGGGTGGAGGAGAAGTGAGGGCCACTGTGACTGCGGCCTCGGTGCCCTGGACCCTGACTCTGTCTCCCATGGGCTGCCCAGCTGCTCCACCCAGCCCTCCCCCCATCACTGCACTCCTCCCTGGACTTGTGTCACCCGACCCCATTCCTTCAGAGTCCCCTGGACCTGGACTGTCCCCGCCTCCGCCTCCCTCCTCACTGATCTCCTCTGCCACTGCTCTCTCGGGCTCCTGTCTCTTTCTCCTCTTTTCCCTCTTTCTTTTCTTTTCCTTCTTTTTTTTTTTAAACAGTCTTGCTCTGTCGCCCAGGCTGTAGTGCAGTGGTACGATCTCGGCTCACTGCAATCTCCACCTCCCGGATTCAAGCTATCCTCCCACCTCAGCCTCCCAAGTAGCTGGAGTTACAGGCACGCACAACCATGTCTGGCTAATCGTAGAGATGGGGTTTCACCACCTTGGCCAAGCTGGTCTCAAACTCCTGACCTCAGGCGATCCACCCGCCTCGGCCTCCCAAAGTGCCGGGACTCCACTTGTGAGCCACCTTGCCGCCTCTTTTCCCTCTTCCTCACCCGGCGCCTGACTGCTTCTCAGTCCCTATTTCCGTGGGTCCTATCTCTCTGTGCCCCAACTGCTGGCCATGTTGCTACCTCCAGCTCTTGGCGACAGCAGGACCGCGCGATCCTCTCCTCCACCGTCCAGCTGTCTTTGCTGTGGCCCTTTCTCTCCCCTTAAACTGGCAGAGCCCCGCCCACCCCTCCTTTTGGGAAACTGGCCAAGGGAAATGAAACTGGTTTTTTGGAGTCGCAGGGTCAGATGCTCAGTCTAGTTGACGTTGGAGAAAGGGGTCGGAGGAAGTCGCTGTCTCTTTTCTTCCTTTTGCCCCAGATAGTTCTGGGGTGGTTTGGAGGCCAGAAATAGATGCTCAGGTAACCGTGACGACAGCGGGGAATGCCCCTCGGCCGCCCCCGTCCCTGATCACCGGAGCCCTTGTTTCTACCCTCCCCCATGCTGCCTTGATTCCTGCAGCCTGGGGACAGAGGGGCTACAGTCCCTGGGCCAGGCCAATTTTCCCCCCAGGTCCTCTCCATCAGGTGACCCCATGTCCTACGGGGCTTCCCATGGTTCCACTTCCCCCTCCACTTGCCACTCAGAGCCTCAGTCTCCCCTTCTGTCAAAAGGGTGTAGCAGTGGGGCTGACAGCCGTGGCCCAGGGGTCAGGACGTGGGCTGTGAGCCCGCCCTCCCCTCTGTGGCTCCTGTCTGCAGCTGTCAAATGGGGATGTCACGGTGTTTTAGGACCGCAGTACTGGAAGCAGCTCCTTTGGAAATGCCAGCGGCTGTGGCCGCAGGGGCCCTGGGGTAGGGGTTCTGTGAGTGGCCACCCGGCAGGCAGAAGAGCTCAGGCTTCACCCATCCCTGCCTTGAGAACCGCCTTGGTGCTCAGGGCAGGGTGTGGGGCGGCACCTTGAAGTGGGTGGGAGTGGAAAAGAAATAGCGGGGACTTTCCGTGGGGTGGGGGAGAGGGAGCCGGGGCTTGGTGAGGAGGAAAACCAGAGGGAGGTACATTCTCCCGATTAAGGGTTGTCAGGGCCATTACCATGAAGATGGGAAACTCCTGCAGTAAATCAAAGAGGGATGTGGTTTATGGCCAGGAAGGGCTGGGGGTGAACGTGAGTAAGAAAGCATGCGATTCAGGGAAACCGTCAGAGAGCTGGACGCTCCAGGCCAAAAGAGCTCGGGTCAGCAAAAACAGTCACAAGGCCGGCGGTGGCTCACGCCTGTTATCCCAAGGCTGTGGGAGGCTGAGGCTGGCGGACCACCTTATGTCAGGAGTTCGAGACCATCCTGGCCATCTGGTCAGGTGAAATGGTGAAACCCTGTTCTACTAAAAATACAAAAATTAGCTGGGTGTGATGGCAGGTGTCTACTTGGGAGGCTGAGGCAGAGAATTGTTTGAACACAGGAGGTGAAGGTTGCAGTGAGCCGAGATCGTACCACTGCCCTTCAGTCTGGGCGACAGAGCAAGAGTCCTTCTCAAAAAAAAAAAAAAAAAAAATAGTGATGATGAAAATGTTCCCGTGTCCATCACCTGCTCGGAGCCTGCCCAGTGCTCAGGGCTTTGCACCCATCGTAACCCTCACAGTGCCTGCATTTGAGGCTGGGTATGGTGGCTCACACCTGTAATCCCAGCACTTTGGGAGGTTGAGGAAGGCGGAAATCAATTGAGGTCATGAGTTCGAGACCAGCCTGTCCAACATGATGAAACCCTGCCTCTATCATAAAAAAAAAAAAAGCCAGGTGTGGTGGTGTGCGCCTGTAATCCCAGGTACTGGGGAGGTTAAGGCAGGAGACTCCCTTGCACAGTTGCAGTGAGCCAAGATTTTGCCACTGCACTCCAGCCTGGGCGATGGAGCAAGACTGCATCTCAAATAAATCCCAAAAACAAAAAGCAAAAAAAAAAAAAAACAAAAAACAAAAAAAACCCCCAATAACAATGCCTGCATTTGATAGAGGAGGAAACTGAGGCTTGAGATGGCAAGAGGGTGGGCGGAAGAGGACCCCGAGGCACAGGGAGGGGAAGGGGCTTGTCTCAGGTCTCAGCGCATCATTCGCAGTGACGTATCGAGTACGAACGGGGCAGGATTGGGGTCTTATTCACCTGTGCCTCGGCCTGGTCCCACAGCGGGGAATGGCCATGCTGGCAGTTCCTGGGCAGGTCAGACAGACCCCAGGTGCCCGGCCCCTGCCCAGCAGCTTGTTCAGCTCTGCAGCCTCATAGCAGCCCAAATGACCATGGAGAGGGGCGCAGGCCCAGAGCCAACTGGCTCCCAGGGCATGTCCCAGGAGTTTTGGGTCCCCAGAGTGGGTGGGGCCCTGCACTAATCCCCTTGTCCTTGATCACACAGGGCTGCGGCACAAAGCTCCTCCAGCTCTGGGCTCATGTGCAGCTCCCCTTGGTGAACTTCTGCCCTTTTTTTTTTTTGAGACGGAGTCTTGCCCTGTCATCCAGGCTGGAGTGCAATGGCACGATCTTGGCTCACTGCAACCTCTGCCTTCTGGGTTCAAGTGATTTGCCTGCCTCAGCCCCCGGAGTAGCTGGGATTACAGGTGCGCACCACCACTCCTGGCTAATTTTTGTATCTTTAGTAGAGATGGGGTTTCACCATGTTGGCCAAGCTGGTCTTGAACTCCTGACCTTGTGATCCGCCTGCCTCGGCCTCCCGAAGTGCTGGGATTACAGGCGTGAGCCACAGCACCTGGCTGAAATTTTTGTATTTTTAGTAGAGATGGGGTTTCACCATGTTGGACAGGCTGGTCTTGAACTCCTGACCTCAGGTGATTCACCCACCTACGCCTCCCAAAGTGCTGGGAGCCATGGGGCCCAGCCTCCAGGATCATTTCTGATAATACTAAGGAGATTGGTGTTCCGGTTAAATTAGGTTTACGGATGAGGGTGGAATTCTGGAAAAACAGTTTTGATTAGGGGAGTCAGAGACAGGAGGGAGAGGATGGGGAGGAATGGCATGGTCAAGTATCTGCTGACTTCAGTTGATTTAGGGATGCCCTGGTTTGATGGTGGTTTCTAGAAAACAAGGTTAATCCTCCTGGATACTGGTCTTTGGTGGGGCAAATCCTACCTTCTTTGGTTGGCTTCTAGAACCACACTGACAGTTTCTTCTTTTTTTTTTTGAGACAGAGTCTGGATCTGTTGCCCAGGCTGGAGTGCAGTGGCACGATCTAGGCTCACTGCAACCTCTGCCTCCCGGGTTCATGCAGTTCTCCTGCCTCAGCCTCCTGAGTAGCTGGGATTACAGGCACGCGCCACCATGCCCGGCTAAATTTTGTATTTTTAGTGGAGACGGGGTTTCACCATGTTGGTCAGATTGGTCTTGAACTCCTGACCTCAAGTGATCTACCAGTCTTGGCCTCTTAAAGTACTGGGATTACGGGTGTGAGCCACTACGCCCGGCCCATAATGACAGTTTCGATGGGGTTTAGGTCATGTCTGTACAGCAGCCAGAGACCTGGCCCTGGTCCTGGCCCCACTGGGGGCGTTGTGGCACATCAGGGCAGCTGATGCTGATGGGGGCTGCACAGACCTGCTGGGGACAAGGCTCCTGCCTTATGTATATACGGATTCTCTTCTCTGAGTCTGAAGAGACCCTAAGTGGTCAGTATTAAAACTTTCACCAGCTGAGCACAGTGGTTCATGCCTGTAATCCCAGCACTTTGGGAGGCTGAGGTGGGTGGATCACAAGGTCAGGAGTTTGAGACCAGCCTGGCCAACATGGTGAAACCCCATGTCTACTAAAATACAAAATTCGCCAGGCGTGGTGGCACATGCCTGTAATCCCAGCTACTCAGGAGGCTGAGGCAGGAGAATTGCTTGAACCCAGGAGGCAGAGGTTGCAGTGAGCCAAGATCGCACCATTGCACTCCAGCTTGGGGGATAGAGAGACTCCATCTCAAAACAAAACAAACAAAACTTTCACCAAGGCTTGGGTGGGTGAGCAGGGCCTGCCTAGGGGATGGCCTGGGACCTGGGTGGGAGAGACGGGGTCCAGGCCCAGATGGCGAAAGGGACTCAGGGATCAGAAGACAGAATTACTGAGTGCCCTGATCTTTGGCCCGTCCCCAGGGAAGGGTCCCCTTCCCATGGAACCCTCCTTCCCGTTTCCAGAACATCCCAGGGCCCCGGGCGGGGGGCACTCACTGCATGGCTGGCTCTGAGGGGCTGTCTCAGCACCCATGGCTTTTCTGGTTAGCCCAGGACAGAAGTCATCGTTGGGCGTGTGCAGAACCGAAGCAAATGATAGTGGCGATGTCCTGAGGCCCTTGTTAGATCAGAGATGCCAGGGTTCCTGGTGTTGGGGTCAGAGCAGTTGGGAGGCTGTGGAAGGTAGGTCCACCTTTCTCAGAAGGGTTTTATTATGGAAACTTTCACATCTCTAAAACCAGAGTGGCCAGCGCGATGAACCCAGGGGCAGCGATGGCTTCGCACAGCCCGTGTTTCACTGGCATCCTCTCCCTCCCCTCCCTGGATTTATTTTAGCGCAAATCCCAGACACCATATTTTCTTTTTTCTTTTTTTTTTGAGATGGAGTCTTGCTCTGTCAACCAGGCTGGAGTGCAATGGCATATCGGCTCACTACAACCTTCACCTCCCAGGTTCAAGCGATTCTCCTGCCTCAGGCTCCAGAGTGGCTGGGATTACAGGCACGCACCACCATGCCTGGCTAATTTTTGTATTTTTAGTAGAGTCAGGGTTTCATCATGTCGGTCAGGCTGGTCTCGAACTCCTGACCTCAGGTGATCCACCTGCCTCAGCCTCCCAATGTGTTGGGATTACAGGTGTGAGCCACTGGGCCCAGCCCATCATATTGTTTTGTAGTTAAATACATTAGAATGTTTCTCTAAAGCAGAAGCCAGCCAACTTTTTCTGTAAATATTTGAGGCTTTGCAGGCTAAAGGTTTCTCCCTGACTACTCCAGGCTGCCCTCCAAGCAGCTGACCAAAATGTCTGCCCTACCTATATACGGATTCTCTTCTCTGACTCTGTCCAAGGACCCTAAGTGGGCAGTATTCAAACTTTCACCAAGGCTTGGGTGGGCAGGGCCTGCCCAGGGAATGACCTGGGACCTGGGTGGGAGTCAGGGGGTCCAGGCCCAGATAGGAGAAGGGACTCAGGGACCAGAGTGGGTGTGACTATGTGCCAATAAAACTTTATTTACAAAAATAGGAGGGGGGACTGTAGTTTCCTTTGTTTTCTTTTCTTTCTTTTTTTGTTTTTAAGGTGGAGTCTCGCTCTGTTGCCCAGGCTGGTGTGCAGTGGCACAATCTCAGCTCTCAGTGCTACCTCTGCCTCCCAGGTTCAAGCAATTCTTGTGCTTCAGCCTCCCAAGTAGCTGGGATTACAGGCACACACCAACCATCACCCATTTTTTATTTTTTGAGACAGAGTCTTGCTCTGCTGTCCAGGCTAAAGTGCAGTGGCACGATCTCGGCTCACTGCAACCTCCACCTCCCGGGTTCTAAGGATTCCCCTGCCTCGGCCTCCCGAGCAGCTGGGATTACAGGCATGCACCACCGTGCCTGGCTGATTTTGTATTTTTAGTAGAGAAAGGGTTTCACCATGTTGGCCAGGCTGGTCTTCAACTCCCAACCTCAAATGATCCACTTGGCTTGGCCTCCCAAAGTGCTGGGATTACAGGCGTGAGCCACCTCACCCGACCAATTTTTGTATTTTTAGAAGAGACTGTGTTTTACCACATTGGCCAGGCTGATCTCAAACTTCTGTTCTCAAGCCACCTGCCTGCCTTGGTCTCCCAAAGTGCTGGGATTACAGGCGTGAGCCACTGTGCCCCACCGTGTTTGGCTTTTTAAAAATTATAATACCATTATCATATATTAAGATGGCAGACATTTCTTATTATCATTAAATCAATGTTCATGTTTCCTGGAATATGTCATCATTTTTAAAAAAAACAGTTGGTGTAGGCCAGGTATGGTGGCTCATGCCTGTAATCCCAGCACTCTGAGAGGCCCAGGAGGGCGGATCACCTGAAGGTCAGGAGTTAGAGACCAGGCTGACCAACATGGTGAAACCCTGTCACTACTAAAAATACAAAAATTAGCCGGGCGTGGTTGCGGGTGCCTGTAATTTCAGCTACGCAGAAGGCTGAGGCAGGAGAATCATTTGTACCCAGGAGGGGAGGTTGCTGTGAGCTGAGATCATGCCACTGCACTTCAGCCTGGGCAACAAAGTGGGACTCCATCTCAAGAAAAAAAATGAAAAACCGTTGGTCAAGATGCAAATCAGAGTCCATATTGCATGTGAGTGATTGTCTTGGTCAGTAAGTGTCACTTTATGCCCAGCATGGTGGCTCACACCTGCAATCCCAGCACTTTGGGAGGCTGAGGTGGGTGGATTGCCAGAGCTCAGGAGTTCTCGACCAGCCTGGGCAAAATGGTGAAACCCCATCTCTACTAAAAAACTACAAAAAATTAGCTGGGTGTGGCGGCATGCGCCTGTAGTCCCAAGCTACTCGGGAGGCTGAGGCAAGAAAAATGCTTGAACCCGGGAGGCAGAGGTTGCAGTGAGCCGAGATTGTGCCACTGCACTCCAGTCTGAGCAACAGAGTGAGAACTTGTCTCAAAAAAAAAAAAAAAAAAAAAAAAAGTGTCACTTTCAGTTCTGTGGATTCAAGGGAACTAGGGTGTCTAAGGTGACTCCGGGGCACCGGGCTAGTCCCCAGGAAGGCAGCACACCTGGCCTGCTTCTTGCTTCAGAAAATCTTTGGCGTTTGAGAGGGTGTCTGGAGGGGAGAAGGGACCAGGGTGCCCATGTCGGTCAGTGTTTGGAGTGACCATGGCCCTACTGTGCGGGAGCCAAGGGTGTGGTCTTGTGGGACAGGCATGGGAACAGCTGGGGTCACTGAAACCTGGCTACTAAGAAGCAGATCTGGCTTCCAAGTGTGAGGTCTTCGCGCCGAGAGGTTCTGTGGAGAGCTGCTGCCCTGAGTCTGAGAGTCTGAGGGCAGATTTTTTTTTTTAGTTTTTGGGACAGAGTCTCACTCTGTCGCCCAGGCTGGAGTGCAATGCTGCGATCTGGGCTCACTGCAACCTCCACCTACCTGGTTTAAGCGATTCTTCTGCCTCAACCTCCCAAGTAGATGGGATTACAGGTGCCCGCCACCATGCCCCGCTAATTTTTTGTATTTTTAGTAGAGATGGGGTTTCACTATGTTGGCCAGGCTGGTCTCAAACTCCTGACCTTGTGATCCGCCTCCTGCCTCAGCTTCCCAAAGTGCTGGGATGACAGGTGGGCGCTACCGTGCCTGGCCGACTACGTGTGTTATCATATGTGCTGGGGTTTTTTTTTTTTTTTTTTTGTCTTGCTCTTGGCACCCAGGCTGGAGTGCAGTGGTGTGATCTCAACTCACTGCAACTAGTCTTTGCCTCCCGGGTTCATGTGATCCTCCCACCTCAATCTCCCAGAAGCTGGAACTCTAGGCAGGAGCCACCACGGCTGGCTAAATTTTATATTTTTGTGGAGAAGGCGTTTTACCATGTTGCCCAGGCTGCTCTCAAACTCCTTACCTCAAGTGATCCACTCCCCTTGGCCTCCCCAGAATGCTGGGATTACAGGCATGAGCCACCACTCAGCCCCCAGTTGCCATTCTTACCCCTCAACAGGGAAAAGCAAAGCGGCAAGAGCTGAGATTCACCTTTAAAAGCCTGTGATTCCAAATTTAGTCACCAAATGTGTCTTCATATTAATTAATGAGGAACTTAAGGACTGGCGGCCATCCATTTGTCGGGACTGACAAGGGAGCACATCTGTGTTTTCTTCCTGGAAAGGGAAACTTGAAATTACAACGGAGCTACCACCCGCGGCGGCACCCAGTGGGTCGCGGATGCTTCGGAGATCTTGGGATCCCTCCCAGACTCCCCCAGGAGGCCTCTTGGATCCATTTCCCACGTGGCTCCAGGGCACAGAGCTTCCTGATTTAATGGAATCACTTGTGTTCCTTAAGATCCCTTGTGGGGGGTGGGGGGAGGGGGGTTGGAGGTGGGAAGAAAATGCAGAACTTAAATTTGCTTTTTTTTTTTTTTTTTTTTCGAGACAGTCTTAACTTTGTCCCCCAGGCTGGAGTGCAGTGGTGTGATCTCGGCTCACTGCAACCTCTGCCTCCCAGGTTCAAGTGATTCTCCTGCCTCAGCTTCCTGAGTAGCTGGGATTACAGGCACGCGTCACCATGCCCAGCTAATTTTTTGTATATTTTTAGTAGAGACGGGGTTTCACCATGTTGACCAGGATGGTCTCGATCTCTTGACCTCGTGATCCACCCGCCTCGGCCTCCCAAAGTGCTGGGATTACAGGCGTGAGCCACCGCACCCCGCAGGTGTTGTATTTTTAATGGAGATGGGGCTTCAGATTGATCTTGAACTCCTGACTTGAAGTGATCGCCTCCCTTGGCCTCCCAAAGCCGGAAAGCGTCCTTATTTTTAAAATACAACTGTAAGAAAGCAATTCAGCATTGCTAATGTTTAATATGCAAAATAATAGGATAAATATATGTACACACTTTGGAAATACATGCTCAAATTTTCTCATCACGATTGCGTGGCCCCTGCCAATGACCTCCTTGTGGGCAATTTTTGGTAACTCCAGCACCAGATTGGGATCAGCTCTAAAAATGAATGCTGAATGCGAAAATGTAGGTGAAATGCAAACTGCTTCTACCTCCTAGAGGCCCCCGGCCTCCCTTCTGCTCTACCTCCTAGAGGCCCCCAGCCTCCCTTCTGGCAGAGGGGATGGTAGGAGTCATGGCCTATTAACTGCCAGGCCAGGCGCAGTGGCTCACACCTGTAATCCCAGCACTTTGGGAGACGGGTGCATCACCAGGTCAGCAGTTTGAAACCAACACAGTGAAACCCGTCTTTACTAAAAATACAAAAATCTGGCCGGGCACGGTGGCTCAAGCCTGTAATCCCAGCTACTCAGGAGGCTGAGGGAGGAGAATTGCCTGAACCCAGGAGGCAGAGCTTGCGGTGAGCCGAGATCTCGCCATTGCACTCCAGCCCGGGTAACAAGAGCGAAACTCCGTCTCTAAAAAAAAAAAAAAAAAAAAAAAAATACAAAAATCAGCTGGACATGGTGGCAGGTGCCTGTAATCCCAGCTACTTGGGAGGCTGAGGCAGGAGAATCACTTGAACCCAGGAGGCGGAGGTTGCAGTGAGCACAGATTGTGCTACTGCAATCCAGGCTGGGTGAAAAGAGCTGGATTCCGTCTCAAAAAGAAGAAAAAGGCCCCTGCTGTAGGTGTAGGTGAGAGAAGCAACTGGGGCTGGGGGTCCTTCTCTGGTTTATACCCACCCCGTGGCTTCTGCTTAGACACAACTCTTGTCCTCCAGCGCCCAAGATGGTCCAAGGAAATAATGACTCATGATCATGACTTTGGGCCCCCAGCTTGACATGGCACAGGATGAGGGAGGCTGACGGGTACACTCCCCACAGCCCAGGAGATTTGAGCGCTTAGGACTGTTCCAGTCCCTAGAGGGAGGCCAGAGGCAGATAATTGGGCCTTTAAATTCAACTGATACCCTCCTTCTAGCCCCAGGTGACAGTAAGGAATGCTGCCCATGACGTCTGTAACCACTGGAATAGCGCCTTAGGGATGGTGCCAGATGGCTTCACATGTGTATATTTTTTGAGACAGGGTCTTGCTCCATCGCCCAGGCTGGAGGGCAATGGCATGATCATGGCTCACTGCAGCCTCAAACTCCTGGGCTTAAGTGATCCTCCCACCTCAGCCTCCCAGGTCACTGGGACAACAGGCACATACCACCACGCCCAACCAACTTTCTTGTCGTATTTGCAGAGATGGTTTCGCCATGTTGCCCACGCTGCTCTTGAACCCCTGACCTCAAGTGATCTGCCCATCTTGGCCTCCCAAAGTGCTGGGATTACAGGTGTGAGCCACCTCGCCCAGCTGTGTTTGTGTATATTCTATGACATAACTGTCACGAACACCTGGGGCCCCTTAAGGACCTGAGGCCACGGCAGGTTCACTCTCATGTCCTCTTCTACCACTGGCTCTGGCCCTTCTGAGAGCAAACCACAGTTTGAATTTGTCTGTTCCTCCTCGTCAAACACGGCTTCATCGTATGCTCCTGTGTCTAAGCCAGCACTGCTTGGTTAGCTTGCAGGAGGCTTTCACATGAATGCCACCCTGGAGAGCCTCCTGGGATCCGCTCTTTCTACTCAACCTTCTCCTCCTAAAATCCATCCATATGAAGAACAGCTTTTTTGGCTTCACAACACATTTATTTAGAAAAGCAACGTACGGTCAGAGAATGCAGCAAAGCGTAAAGAGAAATACAGAAGACACTTAGGATACAGCCGCTGGCTTCTGCCTTCCACACACGGTGGATTTTACTGTAACTGACTAGGGGAACTCTGGTGCCAGGAAGTTCACAACCAAGTCTGTGGCCATCACTGCAGCTGTGGCCAGTTCTGTGGACTGGCGTTATGTTGGGATTCATTGTTCTTTCATTTAACAAATGTGACAGGGACTGGGCTGGGGACGCACAGGAACAAGTGGGTCTCTGCCCGTGGGAGCTCAGAATCTAACAGTGAGACAGAGGCGCAAACAGCTAGCAAGGGACAGCGTAGAAAGTGCCACCAAGGTGCAGGCTCAGGGTGCTATGGGGACCTGCAAGGCCAACGGACTGAGCTTTGGGTAGCTGGGATGGCTTCCCGGAGGAGGTGAGGCCAGAGGTGGGGTAAGCCTGGGCCAGGCACAAGGCAGGCCTCTCGGCTCCCGTGTGTGGTTCCTCAACACCCTGTGTGCAGGCCCCTCAGCTGACCTGTCTTCTGTGAAATTCTCTATCCCACTGTCTGTTCTATTCACACTGTGCTTTGACTTGGTGGTCGGCTTTCAGGAACCCCCATCTTATACTCCAAAACTAGGCTACTGTTTCCCGGGAGGTTCTTTTTTTTTGAGATGGAGTCTCACTGTCACCCAGGCTGGAGTGCAGTGGCGCAATCTCGGCTCAAATGACACCTCCTGGGTTCAAGCGATTCTCCTGCCTCATCCTCTCCAGTAGCTGGGATCACAGACGCACGCCACCACTCGCGGCTAGTTTTTGTATTTTTAGTAGAGACAGGTTTTACCATGTTGGCCAGGCTGGACCTCAAACTTCTGACCTCATGTGATCCGCCTGCCTCAGCCTCCCGAGGTGCTGGAATTACAGGCATGAGCCACCGCGCCCAGCCTCGGAGGTTCTCTTACGCTTGGTGTTTTTCACGGCACCTGTGACTATGCTTTGGATGGAGCAGTTGCCCACCCGACCCTGGCTGGGACCAAGACTGTCAGCCCTTCTCCAGCATCTGACTGAGGCAGGATGAGATGGGTGTTTGCTGTGGGTAAAAAGGGGCCAAAGCCACTGAAATGAAAGCCACAGAAGCCACACCCATGAGGCTGCTGCCCGGGCAGAGGGCTCAGAACACTCCCTAAATGGGGAAAGTCAAAGCACAGAGCAGCTGTCTCCAGGGCACAGTCACGCGAAGGAAAGCAAGAAACAAGTATGCTGCTGTAACCCCACACCAGACCACAGGGCACACCCCCCCGTGGGACTCCCTGGGGACCCGCGGTGGCTCAGTCAAAGGTGATGCGGAAGCTGCGCTCCTGCTCCTTGCGCCGGCCCTCGCACACCTTGGTCACCTCCTCCACCTTCCTCTGCAGCAGGGCGGAGTTCTGGTCGATCCACTGCAGCGAGTCCATGTGTGCGTTGAGGATCTTGCAGATCTGCTGCAGCGGGTCGCTGGTGTCGGCGGGGGCCCCGGACGTGTTCAGGTGCTCGATGATGTCCTTGAGGTCCTGGGCCATGCGCTTCAGCTGCGCATCGATGTTCTCGGCCAGCTTGTAGGTCTTCTCGCGCTCCTCATCCGCGTGCTGCAGGTAGATGGTCCCGCTCTGCTCCTTGACCAGCTCCTCCAGTGGGCTCAGCAGGTCTTCCAGCTCCTTCTGCTGGGACAGGATGAAGTCGAGCTCCTGGTCCAGCCTCTTCTGGTCCAGCTTCACCTTCTCCACTTCTCGGTGCAGGGTGGTGATCTTCTCCCCGTTCTCGATCAGTGTGCGGTCCCAGGCGTTGACCTGGGTGGCCTGCTGGAGGAAGTGCCGCTCTTGGTCCTCCAGCTCCAGGCTCCATTTGTTGATCAGGCTCTCTAGCTGTGCGTAGGTCATGGCGGAGGTGGCGGCCACCCCTGCGGCTGCACCAGGGCCAGGTGGAGCAGTCACGGCGGCTGCCGTATTGCTGGGGATCCCGGCTGGCGCCAGTGGTTTTAAATTCAAGGCAAAGCTGGTGCTGCCGGTGCTGCTGCTGCTGCTGGTGCTACTGGTGGTGGTGATGGCAGCAGTGGATGTTGTTGTGGAGGTGCCGGAAGTTGCTCCGGGTGCTTTTAAGCTGAAGCCCAGTGTCCCAGTGGCAGGGGCTCCTGCTGTGGTTGCAGGGGTACAGAGGGAGAGGCCGGTGGTGGCGGACGAGGTTGGAGCGGTTGCTATTGAGGCAAAGAGGGTGGGCCCAGCACTGGTGGTGGTGGCCATTGGTGTGGGCGCAGCTGGCTGAGTGGCGCCTGCTGTGGTGGCTGCTGGCGTGGCCGGAGTGAAGGACAACCCGGCAGGTGCCGTGGGCTGGGCTGAATTCCCCGCTGAGCCAATGTTGAAACCAGAGGTTTGGGCCGTGCTTCCACCAGTGAACAAGAACCCTCCCGATGTGGTGGCTGGAGCCACTGAGGTGGTGGGGGGGCCAAACACAAAGCCAGTGGGTGCTGTGCCCTGGCTGGAGGTGGCGGTGCTCGGCATGGCATTAGTGAGGCTGCTGCTGCCCAGCCCAAAGCCGCTGGGGTTTGCCATGGCTGGGGTGGCAGCTGCATTGCTCAGGTTTAGCTTTGAAGCACCGGTCCCCAAAGAAAACCCAGTTCCCCCGGAAGCAGGAGTTGCTGTTCCAAAACTAAAGCCCGGCGTCTGTGTGGCCGGAGTCTGCGTGGCAAGTGAGAAAAGGCTGGTGGAAGGGGTACTTGCGGCTGCTTGGGAGGGAGCCCCAAAATTAAACCCTCCGGTGCCAGAGGTGGAGAAAGAAAACCCTGTGGCAGGTGTGGTGGTTGCCGTCTTCGCAGTGCCAAACGTGAACCCGCCTGTAGGGGCCCCAGTGCCTCCAAAATTAAACCCGCTCATGGCTCCAGACTCTGATGGCGGCAGCTACTCCAGCTCCGAAAGCAAATCCGTCGGTGTCTGCAACCTTGGGAAGATTTGTAAAGCAGAGGAAGCGACATTGTCAGATGGCAGTTTTGGAAAGGCAAACTCAGTGGCACGCAACCCCTCTTCTTCCTGTGTAACCTAAACCAGGCCCTGCTAAACCGAGGAGGATCCGAAAGCACCAGCGCACGCGCCAGGGGTCAGGTATGAGGAGCCGGGGTGCTAGGGATGTGCATGGCCACGTTTAGCACAGTGGAAGCTCCCACTCTGTGGAGGCGGAGGCGGAAGAGCAGAACCCTGGACCCACCTCGGTCCGAGGAGGGGATGAAATGTGAGGCACTGCCACCAGTGGGACTAGGACACAGAGGAACAGCTGTAGGACCTGCTCTCAGCATGGGACCCAGTGACATTCCCCCACTGACGCTAGCAGGGCGTGAGCAGATCAGCTCATGCCTCCCTAAGGGCCTCTCCGGACCTCACAGAGACACATGGGGCTGGGAACTCAGGCCAGATGGCAGAGCCTGGGCTGCTGAAGGCCCCCACACCTGCACTCTCTAGCAGGCAAGGACGCTGGAACGCCCTCTCTTAACTTGGGGTGGGGGGGTGTCTGAAACCCATGTGCTCAATCAGAACACAGATGCCCTTGGCTGCAGTGATTGGCTCAAGGATAAACTGAGACCTGAGCCAGCCAATCAGAGCCTCCCCTGGGGGAGGCAGCTGCCTCCTTCACCTGTAGGTGTGGTACAGAGGATTGCACCTGAGCCTCCCCTGGATATGTTCTCAACCATCTATCTGCAGACACTGGGACATCACAGGAGACCATGAGCCCCACCAGAGATGGGTCGGGGAGGGATAAAGAGCACCCCAGAAGCCCCATGGGCCAGAGCATCTCCATGTTCAAACTGACTGGATTTTGGTAATGTCAAACTGAAAAAGCTCCAGTGGCGCCATCCATCAGCGGGAAGCTCAAAGGTCACCTGGAGAGGAAGAGGTGAGGGAGTGCTGGACAGCGGTGATTTTCTTTTTTTCTTTTGGGAAAAGGTTTTGCTCTGTCATACCAGCTGTAATGCACTGACACAATCACAGCTCACTGCAGCCTTGACCTCCTAGGCCCAAGTGATTCTCCCACCTCAGCCTCCCAGAGTAGCTGGGATTACAGGTGCAAGCCACCATGCTCAGCTAATCTTTTTTTATTTTGTAGAAACCGGATCTCTGCTGCCCTGGTCTTGAACTCCTGGGCTCAAGCAATCCTTCCTCCTTGGCCTCCCAAAGTGCTAGGACTATAGGTGTGAGCCCTGAAGATGATCAGAAGTGTCCCTAGAAGACAGAGCCCGGGTGGATGTGACTGACTCGGGCAGACAGGAAAGCTTGGTGCCGAAAGCAGACCGGAGTGGTGCGCTTTCGAATCTGAAGATGGCGAAGGCCAGGAACCAGGGAAGGCATAAGCAGCTCGAGAAGCTGGGAATGGAGAGAGCGAGACCCTGTCTCAAAAAAAAGAATGAACAAAGTCACGACTGAGAAGCCAAGTGCCTGGCCCAGAGAAACACCCACGAGGTCTGTTTCCTCTTCCCTCTCTCCAGGCCAGTTTTCAAGTTTCTTGGTGTCTGCCCTCAGGAAATCCCCTTCTAGCTTGAATCAGAGGAAAACTGCCTCACTACCCCCACCCATTCCACTGTACCATTCTGCCTTCCTCAAGGCCCTCATTTTTGTTTCATCTGCCCCTCCTCCTCCACACAGCCAAGCAAGTCTGGGGAGACGACCGGGGGGCCAGCCGCATGGGGCTCTGCCGTGTCCAAGTCAGTGGATCTCAGTGGGTGTCCATGAGCACCGCCTGGCAGCGTTTCAAACACAAGAGTCTCTGCAGGGCTGGGATGTTGGCCCTGGCATTTTCATAAAGCTCTCCTGGGGAATTCTGAGAAAGGTCTCTTCAAGAGGCCACGGCAAGTGCCTGAGCCCCCAGGACTGCTGGGGCCCTGCCTGGCCGCACCCAGTCCTCCCGCTGTGGGCAGAACACAGGTCCTCACTGAGGAGCCACCTTGAGCCCGTGTGTGGTTCCCAGCAGCTAAAGGCATCTGAGCAGCTACGCCTACCCATCTCAGTTCTCAAGAACTCAGCTTAAAAAAGCTTTTGCTATTAATAAGCCGTAGCTAAAATTTCCAAGAAAAACATTTATAAAAAGCTCTTTGCAACTATTAAAAAACTACAAGAGAACACACACACACGCGCATACAACTACAAGAGGGCGGGGTGTGGTGGCTCACGCTGATCTCAGCACTTTGGGAGGCCAAGGCGCACGGATCACGCACGGATCACGAGGTCAGAAGATCAAGACCATCCTGGCCAACATAGTGAAACCACGTCTCTACTAAAATACAAAGAATTAGCCAGGCATGGTAGTGGGCACCTGTAATCCCAGCTACTCGGGAGGCTGAGGCTGCAGTGAGTTGAGATCGCGCCACTGCATTCCAGTCTGGCCACAGAGCAAGACTCTGTCTCAAGAAACAAACAAACGAAAACTACAAGAAAAACAATCTCCTGTGGGGCCTTATCTGGCTTCACAGTTCACCACTGATTAAGTGCATCGTTGGTTTCCAACACTTCAGATGCCTGGGATCTATTCACAATGGCAGCCCATACTGATCCAGCACTGATGCACGCAGTTTAGATATAATACGGCTTGCGTGGTGGCTCACACCTGTAATCCCAGCACTTTGGCAGGCCGAGGTGGCAGGATTGCTTGAGCCCAGGAATTCGAGACCAGCCTGGCCAACATAGTATGATCCTGTCTCTACAAAAACTACAAAAACAAGTTGGCCAAGGGGGCACCTGCAGTCCCAGCTACTTGGGAGGCTGAAGTGGGAAGACCATTGGAGCCCAGGGAGGTGGAGGCTGCAAGTGAGCCGTGACTGCACCACTGCACTCCAGCCTGCACAACAGAGTGAGACCCCATCTCGAAAAAGTAGGCTGGGTGTGGTGGCTCATGCCTGTAATCCCAGCCCTTGGGGAAGCTGAGGTGGCTGGATCACCTGAGGTCAGGAGTTTGAGACTAGCCTGACCAACATGGCAAAATCCCAACTCTACTGAAAATATAAAAATTAGCCAGGCCCATCGAGACCATCCTGGTCAACAATGGTGAAACCCTGTCTCTACTAAAAATACAAAAACTTAGCCGGGCATGGTGGCGCGTGCCTGTAGTCCCAGCTACTTGGGAGGCTGAGGCAGGAGAATTGCCTGAACCCAGGAGGCGGAGGTTGCGGTGAGCCGAGATCACGCCATTGTACTCCAGCCTGGGTAACAAGAGCGAAACTCTGTCTCAAAAAAAAAAATTAGCCAGGCCTAAGGGTGGCCACGTGTAATCCCAACTATTTGGGAGGCTGAGGCAGATACGGCATCAGCCAGGAAGGTGGGAGGGAGAGGGGTTGTCCAGGTGGGAGGGAGAGGGGTTGTCCAGGCAGGAGGAAGGGCCTGTGTGAAGACAGGGAGGCTGAACCAGCAGCCGTGCCTCTGGATGCTAAGTGATTTGGTGCTTCTGGAGGGAGACGTTTATGCGTGAAGGACTGACTTGCCAAGCCTGGGCTGTTCAAATCTGCACATTTCAAAGAGAGAAATGGTCCTTGATCAGCTCCTGGAGAAAATCTCTAAGTTCTTGAAATGTCCTGCCAGGTAAGAGTGTTTTTGTTCACCTGGGCCCTCAGGACACTCTAGAGTGTCCACGTTAACGCTCTGACCTACAGTGGGGGCTTTGGGTCATTCGGTATCAGCGAGACCTCGAAGGGCTGGAGACTGCAGTCCTCAGTTCAGCCACACGGGTGCTCTGTGCCTACAGAACTGCTACTCCCCGCAACCTGGGCCGCCAACACTCCCTACGTGTTACCACACATTGCTGCCAGGAGAGCTAAGGGCTGCCCGGGCCTCTCCACTGGGAGAGAACAGCTGGAAGCTCGTGCCTGGTCTCTCGCGGAGTTGTTGCATCTCTCCGCTTTGCTGTTCTCAGTCTGTATTCTTTCTCTGTGATAAACCGTGACCATGACCGTGAGGAGAAAGCTATGCGGAGCTCTGTGAGTCCTAGCTCATCACTGAGCCGGAGGGTGGTCTTGGGGACTCACGGCCACGTGATGGGCGCAAGAATTTGGCAGAGCCACACATACCGTGCAAACGGTTCAGGCGTTATGCTGAGAGCGCCACAGGGGAGTTTATGGGTGTGGGGGATGGACCAGAGGGGTAGAGGCTGGCGGCCAGGCAGCTTAGAGAAGGTCTGGGCTCAGAGAAGAGAACATCACGATTTGAGCAGAGTGTTAAATCTGTGCTAAAACCACAGAGTCTGGTCCCAGTTACCAAAGCCTGCACCAACACACAGGGTCTGTCCAGGTTAATAGCGACAAGCCGGGCACGATGGCTCATGCCTGTAATCCTAGCATTTTGGAATCCAAGTCGGGAGGATTGCTTAAGCCCAGGAGTTTAAGGCAAAAACCAAAAAACCCTCAAACACCATAGATAGAAGAACTTGGGAAGTTTCTCTAAAATGCAAACTGTTACGAGCTCTGGTGCAGGAATTCCCACACTGTAGGGAAAGGGGAGAGCTTCCCTACAGAAGACGCGGTGGTGCTGGGAGGAAGCAGGGAGGAAGCCAAATGGAGGGAGTGGTGCATTTCTGGGGAATGGAGGAGGATGTGCCTGGGCTTGTGCTCAGGGCTGGGTGACTGTGGCCATCGTAGTCCACCCAGGCAGGATGGACTCCAGAGGGCTCTAGAGAAGCGCTGCCTTAAGGTCACCAAGGGGAAGTGCTGGCAGAGTCGCCCGTCCCTTCCCGTCCTGCCTGCCCCAACATTTACCCTTGAGTTTCAAACAACGCAGATGCCTTCACAGTCCTGGGGACCCGGAGGAAGACCTGCTGGGGAATCAGATGCAGACACATCCCGCCCCAGCTGTGGGAACCAGGGTTCTCTGCTATCACCCCAGCCTTCAGTCAGCTCTACTACCTTCCCTCCATCTGTGATTCTTGTGCCACTCCAAGTCCCAGTTTCTCTTTTTTTTTTTTTTTGA